ACGCATGACACAAAAGGGATCGATGCGAGAAGTGTTGTTTCTCTGAGAAAAATTTTATGTACTTGAATTTAGGGTTGAAGGATGGAGTCTCGATTTCGGAGTCGGAGTAGGTGGTGTCTTCTGAGTTATAATTTACCTTCTACTTTTTCTGCAGCGGGTCTCGCGGTTGGAATGAGTTGGGCCTGTAAGCAGTGATCCCCGCCAGCTTCACCAGTCTTGTACCGATAGTGGACCTAGAGCTTTAGCTTAGGACTTTAATATTAAAAACAAAAAACAGGATCGTACAATTTGTTACGGGTTTTACCCGGTGTTAGTTGGCTGGGCTGACTTACTGGCCCAGCCTTGCATGTAAGTGGGATGTGGCAAATAGGCCCGTCTATTGCAACAGGTTAGACGCTTAGTAAGTGCTTATGTAATGTGGGCAACAGCACACACCTTACATTGGCTCTGTACCTCTGAAGTGTTCTCTTCATAGAAAATATAGATTATTTTTTGACAGCCTTTGCGTGCAGCGTCCGTGATTTTCGTCCTTTTACACAACTCTCTATTGAATCATTACGATCGATCGTGAAACCACCCCGTAGTAATTCCAACATACAGAGTAGATTTTCCGACAGATTCCTTGGACTGCCTAGCCAGACCCAGAAAGTCTGGACCGCTGAACAAAGAGCAGCTCGAATTCATTCGCAAAATCGGGCAAGGAGGGTTCGCAGTAGTAGTGCGAGCCAGGCCTGCTGCCAAAAGGACCGAAGAGGCTATTATCGCCTCAAAGACAGACGTCTCCATGGCGGAGGGATCGGGCTTGAGAGTTCTAGAGTCCTGTCAGACCTGGATCAGAAGCCGATGACATCTGTATTCCTGACTTATTGTTTCGTGATTCATATAAATTCCATTCCTCTATCATGATCGTAACATTATTGCCTGAATAACATGCCATGCTGGTAGCTGACATAATTTGTGATTGCCTCAGGAAACTCTTGGCGTCCGTGTAAGTGAGTGATGCATTTTATTACACTACTTGAGTCATCGACTATCTAACACATTGGGCTCCTCTCTGACCCAGGCCACACCTTGTACAATGTTCCTATCCTCTTTTGTTACTTGAAAGAGGATAGGAACATTGTACAAGGTGTGGCCTGTGTCAGAGAGGAACACAATGTGCTAGATAGTGTGAAAGGATGGCACCAGAGTGAATAGCTATCCGCACGAGTGTATCTAAAATGGGTTTATTTTGGGTCTCAAGAGAAAAACTACATAGGAGGGCAAGACTGAACACCTGTACGCGGTGTCCTCTACGAACCCGGGCGTGAAATACTCTCCCAGAGCCAAGTTCAGTCAAATTTCGCAATATCAAAGAAGTTGGCCCACTAGGCAAAAATTCAAATTGCTCCTCCACGTCAAATTTTCACTCCCAACGAGTTTGACTCCTATCTAAGTTTCATCAAGTCTACGAGTACGACCAAGTACATCCTCATTCCAATGACCACACCTCTCGTCAACTATTCTCTGGCCTCAGTTGACCACCATATACACGCCCACGCTGATATTTACACCGGACGGAGGAAGCAAAGCGTGGCGCACAAATCTGGGAAACAGTTCTTTGGGATGGACGTGAGAGGGATCAGGACAAGTTTACAAGATGATGCAAAGGAAGGATATTACCTCGAAGGGTGTGAAAATTCGAATTTTGGCAAGGAGTTCTTACGAATTGAGCTTTGCGCACACCAAGACTTCGCTTGCAAGAGTGCAGCTGACACTATAAACACAAGCAAACGATGGAAGGTGCTGTGGTCCGCCTCCCGGTGGTTATATCTGGTATAGTTTGAGTAGTCTGGGCACCTACTCCACTTGGGAAGGAGACGCCTCAGATCGCATTTCGCGCGGAGAAAAGTTGATGGATGACGGAGGCATGTCTGGATAACTAAGGGTTTTTGAGACGTTCCCCTGGGTGGGTATTCACGGATGAGGGTTGACTTGGGGTGAAGAAAAAGCCGCCATAACTTCGCAGTGGTACCTGCAAATGAAATCCGAGGCGTGAGTGTTCTGTTTTTACATTAAGTCATCTATTCTGTACTTTGTCTGATATTGTGTCATAGCTAGATAGCTGCATACGCAATCAAAAACTGATGCAAAAAAAAAAAAATTTACATATTTGTGGGATCACCCTGAGGTTCCTGATGGATTAGTATGTGTGAAAAGTGAGATAAGCTTAGCTTTAAGATGGCGTAGGTTACGGGTGTCTCGTGGCTCCAATCTACCAATATGTATAGTAGAGCTTAAGACTAGATGTAACTTGGTTTTCTATTAATACAGGGTATCGTCTATATAAGTACAGTATTCCTAATCTTGCGCCCGGACTCCAACATGAACAACATTACATAAGCATTACAATTTATTAGAGCCTCGTACTAATCTAGAGGTCTGTCAATCTTGGATCCTCAACCCGCTGGATCCTATCTCGCTTATCGCTGACATAATCAAATCATAGGAGCCTGATAAGCTCCGGATCCCATCTACAAGGCAATAGCCTGTAACAGATAGTCATAGACTCAAGTAAAACAACAAAAACACAGCTCCCCTCAAACAGTACCGCCGCTCGCAAGTCCTCATTCATTCATACACTTAGAGGATCCCCTTGCCCTTCATTATCTCCCCTCTCTAGCCAACGAAACTATGACCATTTGCGGGTGTATGGTAGCCGGGAAAAATTACAAAAACCACTGGGTGCTGGGCTCTCCTAGTACCGACATTAGGACTAAATCCGAAGACAAAGTGACCCTTCCGAAGCGTTCGAAGAGGCCGGCCAGTTGGGCACCGCAGACTTCTGTGTATCTCGGGAAATTGACCCTCTGCCTTTCTAGCCTTCTTCCAACTCCTTCCCGAAGGTCGAGCTGAAGTTTCAGAAAAGTAAGAAGAGTCTTGACAGAGCTTGATTGCTGTACAGTAGCTTAGCCCAACCTCTTTTGTGCTGTCCAGGGCTCTGGGAAATGCCGTTGACTAATCGACAATTGAGGCCCTCATGGTTAATTAGCCAAAATCTCAGCCTTGACACTGAGAAACGTTCCAAAGTTTAGAACTCCTTGAAAATTTCAGTCCTATTATAGTCTTCAAAGTCCTGTTCCCCTTCTCCTTCCATATCTCAGCCGTATGTCCTTCCTCAGGATGTATAACCTCATTAGAGCAACAGCCCCCCATAAACCATGACCTGATCTTTGTATATTATGACTTAATTTCCTCCTTTCGGGGGGGGACTATTCTCAAACCCTATCAGTGGTGTCCCCTACGAACCTCCAGCTCTTACTGTAGAGTCTGCAGAGCCGAATTGAGCAACAAAGTCCTCACTTCGACGAGGATTCCCAATCGCTTTCGCAGTCTGTATCGTCTTCATCCCTAAGCACATCCCCCTATCACCAATACCATGAAGCTAACCACCATCAGATCAGATGGTAGGGTCGAAGCTCTACTCATCACCAAACCTTGATCACGGAGGAAAAGCCATTCAATGAGTTTCTGGAGCGTACCCAGCACTCGATACGGAGATGGCGGATTGGTTCAAGTCGACCTCGACTGTTACGAAGAAGGGAGATATAGATGAATATGCACACCTCATGTGGTCCCGATGTCTAGGGCTCGCCTGGCTGGGGCCGCAGGTTTTTTGAGACTTATTCCCGCGCACGCAGTTTCTATTGCTACCATTTTTATTTTTTTTGGGCAGAAAGTTCCGTGGAAAAGGTGGCCGAATTCCACTGGTAAACACTGAGCCGACTGGCCATTCATCACGGGCAATATATCAATGATCTTTCGGGTAACAAAAGAGGATAGGAGCACTGAACAAGGTGTGGCCTCTACCAGAAAGGAGCCCAATGTGCTAGATAGTCAAAGACTCAAGTAGTACAATAAAAACACACACACACACTTCCTCCTTTCGGGTATACATAGCGTCGTAAATTTTTAGTGGGTGATGGCCGGTAATGAATGAGGCAAGCTCCTGTTTTTAATTAGGGTGACGCCTTTACCGGTCGTTGAGGCGAGATGATGCGTAGTTAGAAAGAGGTTGAGGACTCAGAGGATAATGGTAAGTACTGCATGATTGAGAAGTCGTCAAATGGAGATATGCATGTGTTTGCTTTCAACTTGAATTCGGATGCGATTCATTCTTGGATATCCTAGATATGTAGAGCATATTGAGCGATTACACTGGCACCACTGGAAGGTGAAGGATTCGTCTTTGCCGGCGCTGCATTGCGTATATATTTGGGATATCAAAGTTGCATATTTCTGCTCGCAACCTTTACTTAATCATATCCATATAAAATAGAGTCGAGCCCTAGGTCGTTAAACTTGAAAGCTCTCAGCCGAAATTATGCACCCGCCTCCATACAAATTAGATCCATCTTGCGACGGAAAAAGAGTCGATGATGATTTATTTGATTCAACTAACTCTACTTCAAAGGAAGGGAGATCAAACAACAAATACAGGGTACTTCTAACATTCGGCCCTCTTTGTGAGTCTCATTGCTGATTCCTTTTTTCCTAAATCGAATACTTGGCGCACGGCCAAGCATTATCAGTGATCGCCGCACAGCGTCATTTCCTTGATCTCTTTATAGTTATTGCTGTTTCTTTCGGCTTTGTCTATCATTCCCCGACACTTATCACCAGAATCTTCAGCAATATACTTAGGTATTCTCCTAAGCTCAAATAATAGTCGAACGGTAACACATTTACATGGCTGAAAACTTTCTTTGCACGCAGCCATTATCCCATACCAATTCTAGAAGCTCCGGTCCTCAAATCGCTACTCTCGCGTCATAACGAGCAAATTCCATCCTTGTATCTTAATCTTAGTCCGCTTAGTCTAAAATTTAACGGAGCTTTCATGCTGTAAAAAAAACCATCTTTATTTTAAAATAAATCCAACAACATCGATATGATGGTTCTTAAAGGTCTTGTTACTTTTATTTAATTCAAAATAATCCAAACAATACTGTGCTGTCTATCTATTCTTGATCCTGCCAGTTACAGTCGGGATTATGACAACTGTTAAACCATCCACCCTTTTCCCACTGACCTGGATGATAGACAGAGGCTTCTCGATGAGTATCGTCAATAAGACCCAACAAAAGAACATGAAGTCTTTTAAAATCTATAGGCTTCAAAACCCAGCCTAAGAAGTTATTATATAATTTAATATATGAATTCAAATAATTACCATCAAAGCCTGTTTCAATATAGGTCTGGAGCTCACGCTCATGAAGTGAAGCAGAGACGGCAAAAATTGGGACTCTACCGTTTAGAAGAGCACATTTAGAGAGACTTCTTTGAGGATTAGCCCTTTCAAATGATCTGATCATCCTTGTAGAAAGCAGCCCGTCTACAATTGGCATCTAAGTTCTTAGTAAAAATGATTTGGCAATGAGTTTATTGTAATTTAAGGTACTTACTTGTAGATCCATCAAGATCACATCAAAATAAGCTCCCCTCTCTGCAAATACATTTGCACAATCTTCTCCGTTTATTGTGTGGTAGACTTCATGCCCGCTTTTTACCAACCTCTTGTGAATAATTTTACTGTTTATCGGGTCATCTTCAGCAACTAAAATTTTTAAATGAAAAGCATTTGGATTTTTAACAGCTACTTTATTCAGCTTAGGGGCTTATAGATCTTCCGATATATCTGGATAATGTGTCTTACATTTAATTTGGGCTCGTGAGGCCAAATATTCATCAAGTACTTGTGTCGATCTCGAGCTAGGCCCATTTTGACATTTTAGTCGTGGTTCACTGGTATTTTTATCTATTGATGACGAAATGTCATACAATTGAGGTGAATTTGAGCATCGCTGATTAGGGTTCAAATGCATGAGAGGAATCTGAGTTTTGCCCTGACCTATCCGTTGATCTTGTAGGTGATGATCATTTTCTGAGTCCCGATGATCCGTACATGTTTTATCTGATTTGTGATTTGATTCAGAAATTCTATCGATAGGTCCTTCGGGAACTGTAGGCTTATCAGAGTTTTTTATCTGTCTTGATATTATTTCTAACTTCTTGACGTTTGAGTTACCATTAATTTTGAGTTTCCCAGTCCCACTTGCAGGTTGTGGGCTGATACGGTCGATGAGGGTAATTTCACTAGCTTTCTGTAACGTTGAAATAGATCGTTTTTCTGATATGAACCGAGGGCTCTCTACCACACTTTTGTTTTCAGCACCTGGTAAATCAAAGGTTATTTGAATAACAAAGCAGGATCCAACCCCCTCTTCTGATTTAAGCCGTAGTTGCCCATTCATATTCCATATTATTCTAGACACAATTGCTAAGCCGAGACCGAGTGTTCGTTTCCTTGTTTCCTGTGGCAAAGAAAAGAAAGAAGATCTGATCTTGCTATCGAAGGAACTCGATTCCACAGTCACTTGCTCTAGGTCCCTAAATAAATCGTCTACCTTTTCATCAGACATCCCACATCCAGAATCTTGAATTAAGACTTCAATGGTCGCCTTGTCTACCAATGTTTCCAGTAGCCAGGCTTCAACATGAACATATCCTTGAGTAGTGAACTTTATTGCGTTTGCTATAAGGTTTGTTATCGCTTGTCGTAAACGCCGCTGATCGCCAAGAACAATTCGAGAGACTTTTGGGTCAATACAAACATCATACTTCAAACCCTTACGCTTGGCATCTGCTTTAAAGACTTCTGTAGTTTCCAAAAGCAGGTTTGGAAAGTCAAAAAGATCATATCTGATAAGTTCCAGGCCCTCTTCGGCTTTTGTTAGATCGAGTAGATCATTAATTACATAAATAAGCGACTTTGAGGCGGAATGAGACTTTGCAAGGTTATCTCGCGTCTCTTGATCGAGAGAGCCTTCCATAGCAATTTCAAGATAATTTATAATCGCATTCAATGGTGTGCGTAACTCGTGAGCTGAGTTTGTCAATAATAATCTTGTTAGCTGGCTATTTTGTAGCGCAGCCTTTTTTTGGCGCCAAATCTCAATGAATTTGCCATAAAGTAAGCAGAGGATAGCAGCAGTTTCCATTTGCTCTTCACTCCAATCACGACATTTTCCAACTATTATCTCGCTCCAAGTTTTAAAACTCTTCCTTGGTTCTAGAAAGCCGTCTGTCCCCTCCTTGACAATTTTTTCGTAGGGATTACCAGCCCATTTCACCTCTTTGACTTGTTCTTTCCGAAAAAAAACTATGAAGTCATTGCCGTCAACAGAAAGTGGGACAAGTAAGAGTCCAGCAATGATTTTAAAGCCGGGAGAATAGAAGAGATCTGGAAAATCTTCTCTTATATCTTGAGAAGATGTCACTGAGGTTATCTTCCGCAGACGGAGATATTCGAGCATTACGAGTGCCTCCTGGGACTTTTCGAGTTTGCCCAAAATTTTAGCCTCGCCTTGAATTGATACCAGACCAAAATCGGCGTCGAATAATTTTATTAGATCATCCGAAGAAGCAATGATGTATCTAATTTGATTTTTATCTTTAGGTGCTGTACTAATGAGCTGGCGAGCTTGGAGACGAGATATTCTAGAGAGACGTTCAATATTTCGCGAAGCAGCATCACCTATGAGACGGCACATTTTACGAGTAGGGAAAGAAACCCGTCTACCTTGCAACCCATAAGCATGACATGCGATAAGCCCCCAGAGTCTGTCAGACGAATTGATCGAGATGCTCATACTGGAGCGCACCGCCATGTTCGCAAGATACTTTAAGTGAACTGGAGACATTGCTCGTAAATAGCTGAAAGATAGATCCAAGGGTTCCTCAACTTCATCTTTACTGATAGATATAAGTAATAATATATTTTGTATATGAGAAACTTACTTGCAGCATAAAAGCCGTGCGGTAATGTTGTCGCGATCGTAAAGTAGACGAACTTTGTTTATTTTGTATAGATCTCGAGCTTGAGGAGGGATATCACTTGCAGGAAAATTTAGGCCTTTATATACTAGTTTTTTGTCAGATGTATTAAAGATTTTTAGGGGAATTGCTTTATACAATCACGGGTCGCTCTGGGGTCAACAAGTTCAGAAATAACCCGGCCATTAAACGATGAGTCAAATTTATATACCATAACCCTGTGAAAACTAGTCAGTTCCTTGACGACACCGACCAAAATTTTTAAAAATGTTTCTAAAGTCTCAGCCGAGTCCAGTTGTTGCTGAACCTGGGAGACAAGATTAAAGACATTCATTAGTTCAACCTCTCCTTTAGGTTTTCGGGCACTTCTTGGGATCCTTAAAGGTTGATTTAGAGATTTTGTACTCTCATCGAATTCCTCTTTTGTGGGATTTCCTTTTAAGGTGTCTTCTGGTACTTCAGGAGATTCATACTCATGCAGTGGCAGTGGAGGGCACATTCGGTCATCATACAGTTCGAATTCGCATATAATTAGATCAGATCTATTAGGGTTTATGTGCATAGCGCACCATAATTTTCTGTTTTCTTTTCCCAATTCACGCTGCTCCACAAAGATTGTAAAAACTGATGGTCCGTTTGCTGAAAGTCCCGTTCTCTCTTCACGAACAAAGCTCACATAATCTAACAGGTCTTCTTCTTGTTCTTTGCTGAGAATATCTATGAAATTTTTTAGGTTAAATAATTCTTGGGGGGTATAGCCAATTATTTGTTGCGAATTTTCAGATACGACTCTTACTGAAAACTTGTTATCACTGGTTTCCTTCAAAGCGACTAATAGTCCGAAGCTGAGACATGTTAGTAGAGTTTTTCGTTAGAGTCGGATATCTGTCAAGAATATTATAATGTAATGAAGTCGGTAAACTGACCTTTGAATAGCTCCCGGTGTATGTATACTATCGAAAATAATATTTAGTTGACCATTGTCATAAGGTATTAGAAGTTATGACTTACGGTTCATCTTCACATTGTTGCATTGTATTTCCACTTATCCCAGTAATTACTCCGTGACCATCGGAAGTGTAGACGTGTTTAAATCTTGAGCTCGCTATCTCGGGTACCTCTTGATCCAAAAACGTGTTTACATTAAGGGGACATGCAGACTTTTTGTTGTCAATTGATTCATTTAAAACGTCAAAGTCCCTCTGTTGCGTATCATTTTGGATCTGTGCTCGACTTTGGTAGTAATGAGAAAAATGTTCGCAGTTAGCGTTGTCTAGTGATAGCATACGACTAGAAGATAATCTTTCCTCAGAAACGTTTGGCTCATCATCGAGACCCGAGGGAGCTCTTGAGAGATCTACGTTAACAACACTGCGGATGGGAAATACTCGACAGGTCGCTGAATTTGGCCTCTCCAGTTTCTTCTCAAGCCCGGTATCCCATCCTAAAACCAGCTCTTGATCTATTGGAGAGTTGCATTTATCGTCTACAGTTAAATTGCACCAGTTTAATTCATGATTTTCAGTAGGTAAAGACTGGGAAGGTTGAGAGATGGTTACTGAACTTTTAGAGAAACTGCAAGTTTCCTGGATAGAGTTGTATGTTACAGCTAAACGTAGGCCCTGCTTTGTTAAACATGTGGAAGATTCTTCTTCTGCGTCCATACTAATTCCACATAGGGCCTGGAGGACAAGAAGTGTATTATTGATAGTTCCTCATAAAAGCCGTATAGAAATTTAATAACACAGGCCAAATGAAAAGCTATGCCACAAGAAGATATTCTCGATGTGAGAAAATGTGTAAATATAAGTGGTCGGATTTTTGTACAAGTGAGAAGGTGAAGATTAACTGGAACAAAATTTGTAGAAACTATCTGACAGGCATTATAACTTGTCATTGGAATGCTGTCAGACCTGGGACTTTGCTGGTCTGGAGTTCCCTAGGTCGCCACCATCAAAAATTTATGATGTCATAATCTTTAGTTAAGAGATAGAGCGACCGTGACTGCCGAGTCAGACAGCTGGTGGGTATTTCCGCTTGGAGATCACCGAAAGAGCCGATAAGTGACACACTTGAATGGCTTCCAAGATTCTTGGAATCCGCTCATACTTTCAGATACGCGGCCAGTGTGTCTCACAATTAATCCTAACAAAATTTTAGCATAGCTTTTTGATCGCAGACCAGGGATATCAAATATTGAGTTACGTCGTACTTACCTTGACAGAATAAGGCGAAAGAACTGATTTAACGGCGAGACAATCATGTGGTAGTTGACTCTGTTACATTCCAAAAGTCATATGTCTAATGATACTCTTGGGTGTACTACAGAAATGAAAACTTATAGAGTCATTTGACGGCCTGGTGAATCGATAGCACAGAGCCAGCTACTAAGTAGTTTTGGGGCGGTCAATATGGGGAGTTTTCCATCCTTGTATGCTGAGATTGTTCCGAGCTAATACTTCCTTGCGCTAGTATGCCCATGCGAAACAACAATACATGAAAGTAACAGGGAGTCAAATAGAGTTCAAATAGAGAGAGCAGAATGAGGCAAGGCTACACCTAGGTAGAGTTAAATAAATTAATATGTTTGGCGCTGTAGCTAACTTCCTGTAATATGTCAACAACGGGTTATAGTTATTCCTGTACGTTACTTGTGTGTAACTCGTAATGATTAAAATAGTTATTTTTTATTCTCATTTTTTTATTATTATCATAAGTCTATGACTATGTAAGAACAAGTAGATCCTTTCTGCCTAAAATCTGGGACTATCTAAACATCGGGTATTGTAATCCCTCGTATCCCTCCTTCACGACTTCTTTCCAGCAGTAATACCCCTATAGGTCTTCATTTGAGTTCCCATTAAGAGGAGCCGTTATACCATCAACATCTCCCCTCTCCAGCTAACAAAACGATGGTCAGTTGCGAGTGTGTTGCTGCAAGGAAACGTCTCAAAAACCACTGGGTGTGAGGCTCTCCCATGACGAAGAGGCCGGCCAGCTGGGCGTAGCAGACCTTTATGTACCTAAGAGCTTCTCTCAACCTTCATAACTGTTGCGGTTCGACCGTTGTTTAAGCTTAGGAGGAAAACTAAGCGTTTAATTAGGAATAATTACGATAAGACTGAAAGAGGAAGGATGGACAAATATAGATGAAATGGCACTACTAGCCAGGAAGTCGAAGCAACATCATAGCGTAATGGCTCCTGATAATACTTGACTCGGTAGCAAGTATTAGGCCTAAGGGAAAGTTATCAGTCAGCAGATTCACGAAGTGAACCAAACGTTCTAATTACCTGTTAGTAGTAGCTAGAGGTTTCTTTTCTCTTTATATAGTTTCATAAATCGATTTATTCATTACCAACTCGGTTTCCGGCACAATGACCTTTCCCTTAATCCTCCCCTCATTCAAGACGTTGGACAAACCGAAGGTTGTGAAAGGATGTCAGTAGAGTATTGGTCGAAAGTGACTTCCAAGAAGAAGCTTAGTCTAGCATCCAAAAGTTGTGACGGACCTGGGGCTGTCGAGTAACTCATGTATTTCAGATGCCCTCCTGGCTAGTAGATTCGGAGGTAAAGATTAGTAGGGACGATACTATCAACGGGTCGAAATCTGCTTTTCTTGAGGGCGGAGAGTCTTTTACTTTGCTTTCGTGGGCTTTTTGTTCGCCCGCCGGTGGGTAGCACATGTTGTAACATAACGAGGGCTTCTCTGACTACCGTTGTAGCGTGTGCTACATCAATATCTTTCCTACTTACAATATTACTATCATCGTCTTAGTCGTCTTACGTGATATCGGAAGCGTATCCTTGACGGAAGGGGAGATAACTCAGTTCAGAATTGAAAAAGTGTTACACAATCTCGGCTCTGCAGACTCTACAGTGATAGCTGGAGGTTTACAGGGGATACCATTGACAGTGTTAATTTTCGACCCCCTCTAGATAGGTATTGGACTACCGACAAATACGAATTCTTCACCTCCCAGTAGTGCCAGTGCAGTCGCCCAGTATGTTCTGCATACCTAGGATAGCCAAGAAGAATCGCCTCCAAATCGACGCCTAAAGCACACACAAACACATGCAAGCATTTCTGTTTTCGACGACTTCTCATCAATATCGGTCTCAGCATTATCATTTAAGACCTAGCCTTATAAAATTGACAAAGAAGCTCATCATATTGCAATTGGGAGCTTGCTTCATCAATTGCCAGCTATCTTCCACCACAATTTATGACACTACGTACACCTGAAAAGAAGAGATAAGTAATATTCTGCAAAGCTCAGGTCTTGATTTGTGGGAGACTGTTGCTCTCATGAAGCTCTACGACTCGAGTAATGGCAGGCAGCTTGGGAGTGGGAATAATAGATCTGTCATTTTTGAGGTCATTTCGAATTTGGAACGTTTGTCGGTGTCAAGACTGAGATTTCGGCTAGTTAGCTAGATCGACTTATCTTTTCAACGAGTCAACAACGCTCCCCAGGGCCCTGGACGACACAAAAGAAGTTGGGCTAAGCTACTGTACAGCAATCACGCTCTGTCAAGACTTTTCCGACTTTTCTGAAATTTCAGCACGACCTTCGGGAAGGAGTTGGAAGAAGGCTAGAAAGGCAGAGGGTCAATTTCCCGAGATACACAGAAGTCTGCGGTGCCCAACTGGCCGGCCTCTTCGAACGCTTCGGAAGGGTCACTTTGTCTTCGGATTTAGTCCTAATGTCGGTACTAGGAGAGCCCAGCACCCAGTGGTTTTTGTAATTTTTCCCGGCTACCATACACCCGCAAATGGTCATAGTTTCGTTGGCTAGAGAGGGGAGATAATGAAGGGCAAGGGGCTCATCTAAGTTTATGATCGAATGAGGACTTGTGAGGGGTGGTACCGTTTGAGGGGAGCTATATGGGAGGCATAGGAGGGGATATACTACTGGTATAGGTGTCCATAGCTTATAGGCAGAGAAAATCTGCATCTCCTAAATAGTCATACACTCAGAAAGGACAATAAAATGGATTCAAATTTAAATAATTTTGAAATGGGGAGTTTGAGACTGTCGTGTAGAGACATGCTTCATTCATGAGTTGGTATTGCTTAAGCGATCATGACTATATTACAACGTCATGTGGAGATGAGGTTTCTTGTGCACGGTAGTAAGACTAAAATGATAAATTTTGAACATGAAAATCACGGATGTCTCGTAGCTCCAACTACGACAATCTACATGTGTGTAGAGCTTGAGAGTAGGTGTAGGCTTGTATTTCTGCTAACATTCTAACTCCTCGTTGAATACATGAAATCCCCTATACTCCAGATTATGTAACGAACAATAATATATTACAAAGTAAACTATCAGAACACAGTAGGGAGGAGTGGGGCCGTCAGCCGCCCGGATTGTGAAATTAAAACCCGGCATCTCGCTAGCCGTGAGTTTTATTAAAGGTCTATGTGTTGTGATTGATGACATAACCACCCCTGCATCTGGTTACTGTGGATCACAGGGATGTAGAATCTAATGGTTAAAACAGAACAGACCAGAGTCAGATAGAATAGAACAGGATGGAATAGAATGTGATGACTCAGAGCTGAATGGAACTGAGCGACTGGGGATATGGAAAGCCATAGAATGTGGTATATGTATATAAAACTAGTGATTCTCTAAACTCGAATGAAAGCAAGCAAGTCTCCTAATTCAAGGTTCGACTTCACATTTTCGACACCTAACACATCGCATCACCCATTACCCTTATTTACAAGAATCTTCAATCGGTGCAATGGCCCCAGCTGTTGCATCGTCATCGACAACGCCCTCCAATCCAGGAGGGCAACTTCACCCAAGCCTGCTTGGCATTGTGAATACAATGCACAAAGCAGAACAACAACGGAAAGAAAGACTGGATATAGCCCAGGAATTTCTAGAACTAATCGACTCCTGGGTGTCACAGTTTGAATATAGAAAGCGAATGGGCATTTGTATGATTGAAAGGTAAAGCTATAATTCATCTATGTAGAAGCAAACTACCTACAAGTCTCCTCTACTACTTATACACATCCAGAGGTATCTAAATCTAGCCTACGTTTACAGTGGCAATGAAACTGACGTAAGGTTTGTTCTGCCACACGGGTAACGCTTCCGATACTCTTGGCACTATCCTTTACGTAGCCTCAGTGGCGATCTCATATCAGTTTTCGTCTGCTGATAATCCTCGGAGTGATAGATAATCTAGGTTGCCTTCGATAGCCATCGAAGGCTACAGGGCTTATCGGCTCACAAGCCGTCACACTGGGCTAAGAGCAAAGGAGAGAAACAAGCAGCAGCAGTCGTCGCGACTCTACTGGAAAACATCACGCCTGTTATCACTGCCTTCGCAGTAGATCAGGTAGAAGCATCTAACTTTCCAAGTAAGAAGCCCCCCACTATGGCAAGCACTCCAAAACCAGTCGCGCCTAGGAAAAATACAGCTGTTGAGGATCACAGCCACGCTCTACCCCCAAAGCCTCAAGACACCAGCTCGCCCTGGGTGACAGTAGCCCGTAAAGCGGCCAAGTTACCGACACCATCAAATGTGCAAGTTCCACGAAGGCCTGCTCCATCAAGCCACCCGAAACCACAGACAACCCAAAAGGAGGACAAACGCCTGTTCCTTCGATTGGGGAGAGATCACCACTGGCACAAGCTCT